TGTATAACCAATCTTTGCTCTCATTTATGGCAAGATTTTAAAGGCCTCTTGTGACTTAACAAACAAATCATGCATCTTATTGGTAATAATATGGTCGGAGACTGCATAAGAATTATACAAACAAATGAAAATGCAAGACTTAATGCATTCTGCTTCTGTCCAGTCAATATGAAATTGCTCCTGTGCTGCTTCAATTTTTTTTTTCCTCAGTCGTCTGTTTTTTTTTTGTTGTTGCATTCTACTGCTGTCTTGATTCTGCTTCTTTTGTTGTCCTGTCCTGTCAATATAAAATTGTTTACAACTGATATAAAATGTGATTCAGTACATGTGAATGTGTTTTGTTCCTTTGATTGTAGTGTGATAGTGTTATTCATAAATGGCATCGTCGTCCGAAGGGAACAAAAAAGATCCGGCATGGAAATATGCACACTTGGTAAATCCTCAAAACACAAACAAGTTCAAATGCAATTTTTGTGGAAAAGAGTCAAATGGAGGTGTCTATCGGGTCAAGCAACACCTAGCAGGGAACTCTACGAGTGTTATTACTTGTCCAAAATGCCCTGCTCATGTTAGGGAGGAGATTAGAGAATACATGGCTAAAAAAAAGGAAGAGAAGAATCTAATGAACATGGTTTCCGACTTTGATGAGATGCCTAATGACTTGGAGGAGGATGAAGATGATATTGTAGAGATTGTTGCGAATCGTAAAAGATCCATGACTAGTTCTAGTCAAGGTTCTACACAAGCCACATCGAGACCAAAAAAACCAAGACAAAAAGGGCCTATGGATGTATACTTCACCCCTGATCCGAATGTTGTGGTGCAAAATCGAAAGACCAAGGGGAGACAAACGAATATTGATGCCAGCGATCCTTTTAGAAAGGAAATGAGAGAAAGAGCCATCACAACATTTGCCCGATGGATGTATGACACGGGAATTCCCTTTAATGTTGTGAACTATGAAAGTTTTGCAGCAATGGTTGAAACTTTTGGACAATATGGTCCTGGTTTGAAACCCCCTTCTTACCATGAGGTTCGGGTCCCATTGCTCAACAAAGAAGTAGGGCATATAAAGTCATTGATGAAAGATCACCAAGAGGATTGGGCAAAATATGGATGTTCCATAATGGCCGATGGATGGACTGACAAGAGAGGGAGAACCTTGATTAATTTCTTAGTGAATTGTCCAAAAGGGACCATGTTCTTTGAATCTGTTGATGCTTCTGCATACTCAAAGGATGGGCAAAAAATGTTTGAATTGCTTGATAATTTTGTAGAGCGTATTGGTGAAGCTAATGTGATTCAAATTGTCACTGATAATGCGGCAGCAAATGTGTTAGCAGGTATGAGCTTCTTGAAAAAAAAAAAAAAAGATAACTACTTGTTATATTGAATTTTTTTTATGCACACTAGTTGCTAAAAAAATCTTTATTTAATAGGTAAGTTTTTGGAGGCAAAACGACCAAATCTATATTGGACGCCATGTGCTGCCCACTGCTTGGACTTGGTATTGGAAGATATCTTCAAATTGCCAAACTTCAAGAGAACATTTGAAAGAGGAATAGCATTACACGGTTATATTTATAACCGTCCAACTCTGTTGAATATGATGAGACGATTTACCCAGTCAAGGGAGTTGATTAAGCCTGCAAAAACTAGATTTGCTACGGCTTTTCTTACGCTAACAAGGATCAACCAACAAAAAGGTAACTTGAGAAAAATGTTCACTTCAGAGGAATGGACTACAAGCAAATGGGCAAAAGAACAACAAGGCAAAAGGACAGCACAAATCATTTTAATGCCTTCATTTTGGAGTAATGTTGTCTACTCTCTTAAGCTTACTGGCCCTCTTGTCCGTGTGCTTCGATTGGTTGATGGTGAGAAAAAGCCTCCCATGGGGTACATTTATGAAGCTATGGACCGGGCTAAAGAAGCGATTGCTAATTCTTTTAATGGCAATGAAGAGAAGTACAAACACATATTTGAAATCATTGACCGAAGGTGGGAAGTTCAATTGCATCGGCCTTTGCATGCAGCTGGGTATTTTTTGAACCCAGAGTTTTTCTATTCCAATCCAGAGGTTGAGAAAGATCAAGAAGTCATGAATGGCCTATATAAATGTTTGGAAAAGTTGGTCTCAAATCCTGCGATACAAGATAAAATTGGTCAAGAGTTGAGTATTTACATGAAAGGTGAAAACCTCTTTAAGTTGCCCATGGCGGTTAGACAAAGAACAACTAGGGCACCAGGTAATCTATGTTATCCCACAAGCTTATTTCATTATCATTGCTTAAATATGTTAGTTAATTAATTGTTATTCATTATTCACAGCTGATTGGTGGAGTGCATATGGGTCTGCAACTCCAAATTTGCAAACCTTTGCAAAAAAAGTTTTAAACCTTACTTGTAGTGCATCCGGTTGTGAGCGAAATTGGAGTGTGTTTGAGCATGTAAGTATCATCCTCAAACCTCTTCAATTACATTTTTTTTTAATCTTATTATAAATTTTAATGTATTGTTAATAAATTATTGCAGATACACACCAAAAAAAGAAATAGACTAGCTCAATCCCGTCTCAATGATTTGGTGTTTGTTAAGTATAATAGAGCTTTGAGGCGCCGATATGATTCTCGTGACACAATTGATCCAATATCTTTGAAGGATATTGATGATAGCAATGAGTGGTTGATTGGGAGAATGGATGCAGACACAGATGAAGATAATGAGCTTGTGTTTGGTGATGATACTTTGACTTGGGGCGAAGTCGCTCGAGCTTCTGCAGTTACGGAAAGTAGCCAACGGACTAGATCAATACCATCTACTAGGGTAACACCAAGGTTTACAAGATCGACGACTGGACTCACAGATGAGGAAGACATAATTTCAGATGAGGCAGAGGAGGAGGATACTGAGGGATATGAATCTAAGGATAATGAAGAAGATGATTTCTTTAGTGATGAGGATTGATTTCTAAGTCCTTGAGATATTTTCTTTAGTTGCTTGAATTATGTGTCTTATGTTTTTAAATATTAGGATTTGGGATATTATTAGTATTTGTATGAATTTAAATGTTTAAACTATGACTGTTATTAAGATTTGCAATATTATTAGTGTTTATTTTAATTTAAATTTTTATGGTTTTACTTTAAATGTTTATGGTTTTACTTGTATTTAAATATTTAGTATATATAAAATTAAAACTTTGATGTGTAAAAGTAATTACACTAAAATATTTATTTATTTTTTTAACTGCTCGCTTCGCTTTGGTAAATCGTTTCGCTTCGCTTCTCGCTTCTCGCCTAGGCGTTAAGAGCCTTGGTCGCTTCGGTTCGCTTAACGCCTTAAATAACACTGGTGACATGGAAAAAAGGTTGAATACTTGAATGTCAATAAGAATACAACCAAGCTTGGTGGCCTGCTCACAACACTTATAGAGAGGGGGAGATAGATAAAGAGAGTATTTTCCATTTTTTGGATGTTTAGGGTTCAAGCATATAGACATAAGTCATAAGTATAGCAGTATGTTATGATTAGTGATGTTAGCCATAATTACCATGCCCTGAATCCCCAAATAGATACAATGCCACTATAGGATATGTGTTTAGTTACTTTAGTATGAAATTAAGCTAAAGTTGTATTCATTATTGATTTTTGAATGGTTTTAATGAAGTTAATGTAGTGCTTGTCGACGCGTTTGAACAGTGTATCACATTCAACATCAACTTCCTTCCTTTTGATCTGGTAAGGCTTATTATTGCTTATGCAAAGTTCTCCATTCAATGGCTTTTTTGAGAAAAACTTCAATTACTGTCCTAAGAATACAAGACCCATGGATGGTTGTGAGTTATATTTTTCTTAATTTCAAATGTGTTTGAGAAACTTGGTGGTATACCTCCAAATCTTGTATCTTTAGAGGAATTCAATGCAATGAATAATGATTGTGGCATCATTTACTGTGGTTATGAGGGTAGCAAGTATACCTGGCTTGTTCTTCTTCCCATAATTTCATTAAATGCGGCTGGCTCTCTCTATTAGAATCTAGTACTCAAACAATTAACATGATCACATCGAATGAGCACTTGGTTTGCACGATACTTATCCTACAGAACATAGCTTACAGGCTTGTATGTTGGGGAACACCCAGTCATAACTTTAATAGAAGTTGATTCGACCTACTACCACCATACCAAACCACGGACTCAAATATTTTAAAGCCAAAGTGTAGGTACAGAAAAATGAAGAAATTCACAGCAAGTGCAGTCATATAGAAGCTTTCTTTGCACGTAAACTCACACTTGCAAGACAAAAGACTAGAATTTTGAGTTGAATGTTACCATGTGAATGACGAAATGCTCATCCAAACCATCCCGCGGAAGACATCTCTGAACTCAAAAAAAGGCAAGAATCAGTACATCATGTCTAATTTTAATCTATATTTACCATAAGCAGAGCAAACAACAAATATCACAGCATACACTACAGAAGGCCAATGAAATTATAGGTATGACTATTAATAAAAGTGGCAACATATAGGATAGGACAAGGACACGACAAATAGGTTGATTCAACAACTTTGTTAAGAAACTTATTTTGAAGTTGGGTTTGGGTGAATAAAACAAGTTTTCCTTTAGCTGTTCTTCTTTTCCCATTTTTTTTTTTTTTGTGTTTGGGGGGAGGGAGGGGGCAACAAATCAAGGGATTTTCCAAACCAGTGGTTGCCTGCATATGAACTCTGGATCCATAGTTGACCTAGTGCTAGACTGAATAGTTTTTTATCACTTTGCAAACGACACCCAAGAAATTGGAAGAAAGCCTACAGAAATGAGTGGAATAAGAATGCCACCCACATAACCATAAATTGATGGTGCTCAGAGTGATGGACGACTGTATACAAAACTAACCGATTGGTCTTATTTACATGATACAATTCTTAAAGCGAAGGATATTAACATGAGAGTTTACGATTAAGCCTCTGTCCACGTACAAACAACTGGGATTGACTAAAGAACACTTACTGCTTTCACCGAGGAGATAATAAAGTCCCTCCCGGGAGGACTCAATACATTGGACGGTACTTTTATCCTATAGAACTCATCGCCTTCCAGTAATTTCTGCAAAATTTATCTCAGTAAATACTGCACGGTTCTAAATTGCAAAAAAAGAAATTAAAAAGAGATAGAAGATCAGAAATTGATAATTAATTACTTTGAACTGCTCCTTCTCGGTTTCACCAAAACCATTCCTTGAGAACCGAAGTTTCGTGAGTGTCTGTCCGCCGTGAGACCAAGTCTTGAGGCGAGCAGTGAAGGTTCCGGCAGGAGAGAAATCGGAGTCACCGAAGGCGTGCTCCAGATGGAACTGGACCTTGGAATCCGAATCCGAATCCGAAGATTTTTTCCGGTTCGGTTGTGGAGTAGGAGTGGATCTGGTTGGTATGCTGATATCGAGATCAGGGGATTTGCCCCCTTCGAGCCCGAACTCTTCGTCGTCTATGAGGAGCTCGTCGGATTGAAAAGCCGACGACGACGTAATTAGGAGAGAGGAAGTTATTGTTAGTGCCAGTAAGAAGAACAAGTTCAGGGGTGATTTGGTTCTCATTGTGAAGTGGAATTGTGTGTGCGCACGAGAAAGATGGAAAGAAGAGATTTAGGAGCCGTATGCTTTTGGTTTTGTATATACAAATATATACAAATGCTTTGGATAGTCGGTATACATTTGGTTGTTTTCTTCTGGGCTTCTTTTTGGTAGTAGTATACGCGATGGACTTAAATTAAATCTTAGGATAAACGACATAAATATCACTCAAACTTTTGTATCAATTTTAAATTGGGCCTTGAACATTCAATTATATCATTTTAGCTCTTATACCGTTACATTTGTACCAATCAACCCCTTCTCTCTTTTCCTACGTTATGGGTAACGGAAGCAATCAAACTGGAGAGGCTTTGAGAGCATAATGGACATTGTCCTCATTGCTTCTTTGTTTTGGCACCAAACTTCTCTTCCTTTCCCTCCTCTTGTTGCTTTGTGTTCACAGATATAAATCTATATTTTCTTTGTTATGTCATGAATGGTAGACGACAAAGGGAAATAGTGGACTGTGCAACCAGGGCAGTGTTGAAGCCTTAGATAGGGCAATGATAGAAGTCATGGATGTATGTTGTAAATGCGGGACAATGGCAGTGTCGAAGACCTCATGGATGAATCAAAATTTAGGAAGGAGGTTTTATACCTATGGCAAATCCATGGTAACTTTCACCTAGAAAATTTTAAAGTGTTTATCTCTCTCTTTTTTTTTATCAGTATATAATATTATAGTGTAATTTTGTGACGCCCCTAAAATCGGGGATCATTAATTTATCATTGCTCACCCGTCAACTTGCGGAAAGACCCGTGAGTGTCGCTTGATTCGATAGCACGCTAACATTATTCCATTATCCGAAATTTTAACTCACACGTGTAACCCGTGTTCTTTTAATCATTTAATCCAACCAAAGTCCAATATATTTCATGTAATGTTCATTTGTATCATTGGAACCAAGAAAAACAAAGTCCAACAATATGGCACTTTAGTTTTAAATTTCAAATTTTTGGAGACAATATCCAGTACTGTTTGTTCACTGACCCTGACAATATCGGTACCGTTTGGACTGTACCGGTATTATTTGCGTTCAAATTTTTTTATATGTTTTGAAAAGAGTATCGGTATTATGTACCGGTACGGTCTGCTTGCTGGATCAGACTGTAGCGATACTCCCTGCCCATATTTGCCTATTTCCTCTGTTTTTCACTTCCAATCCACTCCAAATCACTTCATTTTCATCCAAAACATGCATAATGGAGTTTTCTACATAAAACCTCATTTATACAAGTCCATTTCAACAATTTATATATATTTGCATACCAAAACATAGTTTTAACAAAAGTTTTTACAAAGACATGTTTTCAAAAGCCACAACCCGGCTTTTCTTCATCTTTGAAGCCCCCCGAATGCGAGTCCTTCGCTAGTACGAATCCTGCACCTGAAATTATTCCTGTATAGGGTGAGCCAAGTCCAGTACGGTATTTCCTACCGATGCTACTCCTCGCCTAAGTGCATATGAAATGTTCGCATGCAACAAACATAATCATATAACCATTTCAATCAAGATTATATACATTATATGTCGGAATCTATCATGCCATGAAATGAGATAGGACTCACTCACGCACAATAACCTGAGCCCTCACCGCCTCCTACCACACAATGCAATGCATGTGTTAAAACCTTTTATCATTGATAAAATACATCCAATGATCATTTTGAAATAAAATCATACGTTCATAAAACTCATTCATTGTTGGATGTTTCCCATCAAATGAATCATTTATATAAAACAAGTACATTTTTCTATAATTTCACATCAGGGGAGTGTACGAAACCAGGTATTTTTATAAACAAAATCATGTGTCTTTGTTGGGTAGCGGAATTTTAGAATCACAACATAGGTTCCGCAAACCAATACACTTTTCTAGAATTTCACCTCAGGAGAGTGTATGAACCAAGTAGTTGAGTCTTTCACCCGAGGGAGTATCTAACCCTTTTTGTTATATCCAACACAAGTTTTTCCATGCATGCAACCGTACGACTCAGTGGAATCTTCAATCCCACTTTCCCGAGTCCACCATCAACCACCATGTATGATGTTTGAATAAACCATGCCTACACACACTCACACTCATGCCTAAGCCCATGAATGTGATGACAAACCATGCCCAAGATGCAATGAATGCCAAATGAACAATTTAGCCGCATATTTCCACATATTGCATGGTAAGTTATATCATAAGCATATATTTATCATTCTCTGTCACAATGTCAATATACCAATGAATGTATACCAACATTTATATCCAATTAATTCACAAGTATGCTACCACATAATCCATGTCAATAACACACTTAAATCACAAGGCACATTATAAACATATAGCATGCCCACATAAAACCCAATTTTCAAGAGTTCACAGAATACTTCCACATATCAAAATCAAGTTAGAAAATGGTCTATGTCATTTCTATACTCATTTCCTTATTTCCATGACTATAGGCAAGTCATATATCATTCTATACCTCTAACCATTCCATACGGACACCCTAGGTTAGAAATAGACTGGAGTAGGAAGGAACCCTACCTCTTGGAGCGTAATATGAGTGGGAGAAACCTCTACCACACCTCCCAAGCCCTAAAACTTTGATTTTCTCAAAATCCACTCTTCAAAATTTCGATGAAATCTTTTGTTCTTGGTACTTATATGTGGCTCTCATCGCGTAGACCAACTTTAATTCTTGGTTCAATGAATTCTGACCAACAGAACTCCTTGGATCGTTGGAGAAAGCCTTGAAAAATAAGTTTTCTCTCTTCTCTCTCTTTTCTCTCATCAACGTCTAAAATCAGCCGGCTAAAGGGGAGAATATCTAATTTTTCAGATATTTAGCCCCTATTTATACTTTTTTAATTGTGCGGTCCATATTGTCCCGCACGTTTATTACTTCCGGATCCGTTTTGAACTCAAAATGACTTAATTAATTCTCGATTTTAGTTCAAATTAATTTTATTTAAACTTTTACCTAATTATAATTTTTTTTTATAAATTTCATTTTTGGGGATGTTTGCGAAGTCATTTGTCACCCAATTGTCTCGTAAAATATACAAAATTTGAATATCTCAGAATTTGACGAAAATTGAAGTGGCTGCTCAATTTCGCGATACGAATTCAACGATAAAGTTCGTTGCATCATCTGAGCTCTAAAAAAAATATTAATTTTAAACCCGCATTATTGTAAAAAATTACCCTTTTGCCCTTTTTTCAAAAAAATTTAAATTTACCCGAGTTTTACAAATTTCATTTAGGTTGGGAGATATAGTTTCTTTGTTTGGTGCAATCCACCTATGTGCCTTTGTGCGCGCCAAATAATCCCAAGATTGCTAAAACTTGTTTCGACAATAGAGAACCAGTTGAGGAGAAGGAGAAGACAAGAGATTTGTTTGTGGATAGTGTTGCTAATATCATGGTTGTGTTTTGTGGCTTATGTGGAGCAGCAATTATGAAGATGTTGTAAGGAGTCCATCTAGTCATTTTGCATTGGGTGATAAATTTTGACTCATTTGCCACCATAATGCAACTCTATGGTAAATAACATTGAGTTGATACCTATGCAAAAGGATAAAAAACATCTTCACTCATACCCAGTATACTATATATTACAAACAATTAAAATAATTTCTTATACAATAATCAAATACAAGACAATGCTTTATCTCCCCACCCATATTAAGGAATAGAGTAAAAAACAACTAAATCAGTTCGAAAGAAGAACCAAGAAAGCAATAATCCAACAAAAATTGTAGAATATTAAACCAAAAAAAAAATGCACATGCTAGCCCAATACCCAACATCATCTACACTTTTCAAATCTAGAATAACTGCATAAAAAAACGGTAACGCCCCAAAATTCACCTTAAATGACATTACTATCTAAAATTATTTATATTATGAGAGCAACTAATAAAATCAATAAATAAAGAAGATTTCATTCATCATACATACTATCTATAGTATCATCTAAAAAGAATAAACCAAACTATGACAATTGTATCCAAAAGAATATATCAAACTATGGCAATTACGCCCAAAAGAATATGTCACACTATTATCTCACAGCGGAATAAGAAAAATATTAACATGAATATTATCTCAAAATGAATCTCCTAATCTAAAATATTATAAGAACAATTCTAGACATCACCCTCGGGATCCACGCTTCCATCCAATTGAGCTTTCCAAACTACCTGCTCATCAACTCCGAGCTCTTCCTTTAAAGCAAAATCTAAAAATAAATATTGTTTGTAGTGGGTGAACACTAAGCTCTACAGAAAAATCTTCCCAAACTTGTACAAGGTTTTGAAAAAATAAAAAACAAGTCGACCTCATTTCACAAATATCATATATAACTTTGGAAAGAAAACAGTGACAGTTAATCTGATCTCAAGTTTACGGAATATCAATATATATAATGAAGAAGTAAACTCAATTCTCAACAATAAATCATTTCCAACAATAAATAATAACCCACAATTTGTATCATTACTCACAAGGTATCTCAGGTATGATGTATGATATCGCATGAATAAACACATCAAGAATATCCTGACCCACACACACATATCCAACCATCGCAAGGATACACAACTTTAGGAAGGGCATATACCAATGCATCGGTAGTGACGAATCCAACCCAGGAATAATATACTAACCCTCAGTCTCGATTTTACATGAATGAATAGTGGTTTGGTCCTCGTAAGACACCAACCCCACTACAAGTGGTAGGGAACCTTCAAACCCACATGGAGTAAGAAACACATCTACCCACTCTACGATACTCGGTCAACGGCCACCCATATTCATCCAAACATCCACACAAGAGATACAATACTAACTAATTTCTCAAATCACAAGTAAGTCAAAAAACCCTAATTTCATAGATATTTTTCCAACATAACAACTCAAAAAAATAAACAAGAGATCATTAAAAAAATATAATTTTATTGTTCAAA